TAAATAAATAAATAAATGAATGAATGAATGAATGAATGAATGCATGCAGGAGACACAGGTGAATGGGCCTTTCAGCAATCTGGCCACTATGTGTAGCCTGGGAAGACCTTCTGAAACCTGTAAGCATTAACATCACAATCACATGGGGAATATAAAATCTGTTCCCTCCCTCGGAACTCCCTGTGATTAACTATAGACACTCTATGGCTGGGGAAGGCATTAAATCATAAAAGCAGAGGGACTCTGGACGAGTTTCACTGTCTCTGTCAGAGTTGAGGGAGGAGATGTAACACTGAAGCTGTTTGCTGGACACCACAGAGGTGGAAGAGCAAGAGGGAAGCCCTAAGAGCTGCAGGGCGCATGGGTTCTCACTGCGATCTTCTGGTTTCTAGTGGGAAAAGGAACACAGCAGCAGCGAAAAGTGGACACACACCTGGGGCTCTACCCCTGTCAATTTTGGTTATACAAATCATGTTACCCTCAGCTCAGCTATCTGTTTTCAACCTGATTTATTCCAAAATTCACATTAACCACAGAGCTGGTCTCTAACCAAACCCAATTTCCTATTTTTAAATTTTCTGGTTTTTTTCTTTTTTTTTTCCTTCTGTTTTTACAGTACTTGGGCTAACACTGTGTGTGTCTGGAAGAGCATTCCACCAGCTGAGCTGCACTCACGGCCTAAAATGCAGCCCTCTGGAAGAGGGGCCAACTCCTTCTAGACACACTTTTCTGAAGAGCAACTGTGGGCAGATGCCACAACCAAAGTGGATTTAGCTCAATCTGAGGAGAAACCATGCAACAATCAGATCTGCTAGCACATGAGAGATCAAACTCCCTGGACACCTAAACCCACTCTAATCCATGTACACACAACAGTAGGGACAGAGGGCACAAGTGCAAGTGGACCTTGGCCTTCAACAAGCTCCAGGGGTGAAAGGCAACACTCACAGTGACTGCCCCATCTCAGCAGCGCCCTGGAGATGATCAGCTGTTAGCCACAGCGTGAGGAGAAAGGCTGGGGAGGCAATGGCAGAGGAGGAACAAAGGCTGAGACCTGCTGTACACATTTGTCACAGGCGGTCACGTGACAAGTGGTGGAAGTGACACTGGACTACAAAACTCTTAAATATCATGTTAAATCAGAACTGCTGGGTATGTTGGCACATGCCTGTGATGCACTTTGGAGGTTGAGGCAGGAGGATTTCTGTGAGTTTGAGGCCAGCCTGAATCACATAGTTAGATGCTGTATCAAAACAAACGAACAGTAAAGCCATGCTGTTATGTTAAGCTGCAGGGGACTCAGGTCAACAATTTCTGACATGGCCAGTCAAGTGGAAGACCCAATACTATTAATGGGCTACTGGACTCTTTTTAGAATATTTTGCTGAGTTTACACACCTATAATATTCAAATAATGGAACTTAACAAAAAAGGGGATACAGATGAATGTCCATTTTGTATCTGTGTATTCAAAGT